CAAGTGATCTTCTACTCAGCCTCCCAAGTCGCTGGGACCACACCACTGCACCCAGACAAAAGTCTGAGATACCAAAGTCTCTTTATTTTCACTGTAAACTGATACAATTTCTTTAAAACCTTTGTGAGTTTGTGTGTCCATTTATAATCCACTCTATTAGTAAAAAGCCTCATCCACAAATCTCTTTGAGATCATTTCTTTCCTATTTTGGGGCTCTCTGCAGCATTTCTGTGGGACACTCCCCTTGATATTCTTAGAAGACCTGTGGTTTTGGTTCTTTGAAACGACCTATGAAGCGTCTCTTTGAATCTTTCTGAGATCTTACTAAAAGGTCTCACGGGCATGTCTTTGGTTTCATCTTTAGATCATATTTTCCAAAAATGCCTTGGATTTTCTCTTTACTTGGAAGCCATTTATTTTGTTCTGTCTCTCTCTCTCTCTCTCTCTCTCTTTAGAGATGAGATCTTGTCAAGTTGCCCAGGCTGGTCTCAAACCCTTGGGCTCAGGCAACCCTCTTGCCTTGGCCTCTCAAAGTACTGGGATTCCAGAAGTGAGTCACTGTGCCCAGTGGTATTAAGTCATTTCTTAATGTTAGTATTATCTGCCATCTGAAGAGCATGGTAGGAAGCACAATTTTATTTTTCAACCCAGAAAGTCTTCATTCCTTTATAGTTAATATTTATTTACCGCATCTCATTATTATCATGTTTTCCTCTGGGCAGTTAGAAAAATTCAGTAGGCAACTCTAACACTGCCTGGAAGTCTCCTTGGCCAGATCAGCCAGTTCATTTTCTGTGTTTTCTATTTTCCACATGACTGGAGGTGAGAGAGTATCGCTAAGCTTTTCACTGCGACTAAAAAGTATCAGGTTTCCTACCTCTTCCTTGCTGACCTTTAAGCCCCACTATGAGTTTTCTCGAGGGCCACCAAGCTTCTATTAACAGTCTCTTCTCTGTTCCTCTTGTATCTCATGACGTTTACTTGTTTAATTATCCTTTTTATAGCAGCAGTCCCTTCCAGGTACCAACAGCTGTTAAGAGGTGTCTATTATTGTATAACAAACCTTTCCAAAATCTAGTAGCTGACGACACCAAAGAAGACTTTGGTATTCTCTCTCATAGTTCCGGTCTTTGGCTGGGTGCGGCTAAGAAGTTCTTACATAGGTTCTCTTATGACTGTAATCAGACAGTGTCTGGGACGAAGGTTGGGATTGTTGGGAGACACAGATCATTGCATTCCTGGTATTTGGGATTAAAAAAAAAAGCCTGGACGGCTGAGAGAGCAGATGGGGTCCTCTGGCTTCTCCCCATGTTTGGCACAGCATGGCTGCTTCAGGGTATACAGTCTCCTTCCATGGCAGTCAGGGCTACCTAGTCCTGTGTCCCAGGAAAGTGAGGGCCAGGCAGAAGCCATATTGCAATTGGCCCAGTCTTAGAAGGGACAGCATCATCTTCTAACCATTTCTATTCACCGGGGCAACCACAGAGACCCTCCCTGGCGCAAGGTTTTGGAAGAGCATATGGGGATCAAATTATGATTGAAGCCAGCTTCAGAAAATCCTTTAAGGCATTCGACTCACTAACGCTAATGTTAAAAATTGGGTTGGTTCGTTCCCTTTCTAGAAGCTTATGAGCTACTATGTTCAAGCACGTTGAAAGTCACTGGAATAACGCTCATTAATTAGAGGATTGCTTATTTGGGGTATTTTCTGTTCTTAAACGTTGGCTGCTCTTGGGAGCCTTATATAATAACTGACTTACAAAGATGTCCACTGAGTTAGAAAATTAACTTTGTTCTTTTCCATTTTCCTTTGGACGATCCCCCTTATTTCTTGGTTACGGTGGACCAAAAATTGAGCCAAGCACTTTCCATACAATATCTGTTTTATTCCTGTGAGATAGTTACAAGTATCATAATTTCATGCACAAACGTTCCTGGGAGAAGGAATGCTGCTTCTGACTCTGTGAGGCGGCGAGCGGCAGTTTCTTGTTTTCCCATTTAGAATGAGTTCGCAAACAGACGCATAGAGTGGCGCGAGCAAGGAGTTTTTTTAAAATTTTTATCTCTTATGGCCTGTGCATTTCAGGTTTTGCTCAGAAATTGGTTGCCAGTTACAATTTCCATAAGGATGTCTCCTGTATTTTCTTTTTTTTTTTTTTCCTCTCTTTTGTTAAATAGAGTCCAGATTTTATTTCAGACAAAATATCTGGGTCATAATAGAAAAAACCAAAACAAACCAATTCTATACTAGTGACTTGCTTGAACATTGTTGGGAAACATTAAAAATGGACCCCAAAAAAGAGAGAAAAACTGCATTTTTAAAGGTTCTTATGGTTTGAGGTTTTACATTTAGGTCTCTGATCCATTTAGAGTTAATTTTTGTGTATGGGGATAGCTAGGGGTCCTGTTTGAATCTTCTGCCTGTGGTCAGCCAGTGGACCTTGAACAGCTACTGTAATACTATAAGAAGAGGATCGACAGTAGCGGAAAACTACAGGGACGGGAGAGGGAGGGACAGGGAGGTGGGAATAACGGTGGTCAATATCTGCCTGGGGAAGGAGGGGCACACCTCATCAACGAGGGAACCTGCCCAATGAACATTTGTACACCTAACCCTTAATTGTACCCCACAATTTTAAAATAAAGAAATACAGTAAACATTTTTTAAAATGTATTTATCTATTTAAAAGTGTTATTTTATTATAGAGATGTGGGGTGCAAGTGAAGATTAGCTACATCTATAGCCTGCATGGGGGTGAAGTGTGGGCTGCTAACTGGCCCTCACTCCCCCAGGAAGTGGACCAGGTGCACTTCTGCTTGTCACATGCCCCTAGCCCTCCTTCCTCCTCCTTCCCTCTCCCACCCCCTAGCAGTGCCCAGTGATCGCAGATCCATCCCTCGTGCTACCGTGACTAATGTTCAGGGTAATTTATGAGTGAGAACCTGAGCAAAGAAGAGGACTCTTCCAAGACAGGGGCATGGGCAGAAACAGTCTCCGGAGAGCTGCTGCTTCTGCACCCAGCGATGGCTGAGCCATGATTTTCATTCTTATGGGTGTTGAGGAGTGGCTTTTGGGGTGGGCTTTTCCCAGAAATGGGTGATCTTAGAGCCGAGTCTCTGTTTCTCCTCCCTCATGTGGGGCTGGGGCGTTTTAGACCTTACAGGGACGTACCAGGACAGTCATGGCACCCTAGTGGGTGGAGATTTTGTAAAACCACAGTCCTGATGATGTTATAATGAGTGCATAGTGAAGGTAAAAGAGGTCATGGTCATCTTAGGTCAACCTGAGCTTTGGATGCACATGGCCCTGGGGCTCTAAACTAGTTTCCGCCTTGGTCGTCAGCTCTCCACCAACCACAGGCATTATGGGTAAATGGACTAAAGTGTGGCAGACTGTCTGACACAAGTCTGACAGTTAGCTAGGTGTGAAGCAGACCACCTCCTTGCTTGCATAGTTTTGCACCAGTTGCCGCAGGCATCCATGGGCTTGGAAATTTCTTACAGTCCTGACATTTTCCTAGTCTAACCTGCTCTGTCACAACTACGCTGAGACTTTTGAGAGCCTCGCCCAAGACCTCATTTAAAGTTATTTTTCTGCACCATGACCACCCCCAGCACAGACACACACAAGGCTGTGGCCCTCACCTGGTCTATTTCTTCTCATCTGCATAACACGTATCACATTCTAATATATGATGGTATTCATTTGTTTGCTGTGTTTCTTTTTTCTTTTCTTTTTTTTTTTTAGTTGGAGTCTCACTCTGTCGCCCAGGCTGGAGTGCAGTGGCACACTCACGGCCACCCTAGTGTCAACCTGCTGGGCTCAAGTGATTCTTCTGCCTCAGCCTTCCAAGGAGCCGGAACTACCACACCTGGCTAATTTTTTGATTTATTATAGAGACGAGGTCTCACCATGCTTGCCCAGGCTAGTCTCGAACCCGTACACTCAGGCAATCCCCTCACCTTGGCCTCCCCAAGTGCTGGGATGACTGGCTTGAGCTACCACGTCCGGCCTCTTTTTTCTTTTTCTTACTGATTTCCATAGGGTAGAGGAAGGCAAGGGACATTTTTTTTTTAATTCACTAATTTATCTCTGTGAATACTGGTTGAATGCATATGACTAAATGAATGAGTGAATGAATAAAAAGTCACACTGAGATTTCAACCCGGGTCCATCTGATTCCAAAGGCCTTAATTTTAACCATTATACATCATCGTCTTCCCAAAGCTAGGCACAGAGACTGCCGTCATTATGTGGAGTCATAATGAGAGAAAAATTCAGCCGCCTCAGTTAAATAACTCAGAAGCCCAACAACATTACCTGTGCTCGTATCAAGAATTCCTAAAGATTAGTAAAGATACTAAATTAGTAAAATAATTCAAGGTGTTAGCTCTTACTCTTTAAAATCTCTCTGTCCTATAAGTGTTTCTCCTGTTGTCTGTTTTGTCCATTTTAGAGCATTTGAAGGGTCAAGCTTACTCATTTCCTGCAGGAAGCTTCCACAGGCCCCTGGCGAGTGAATCTGCTGCCCCTCCTGGTTTCTGTTTCCCCGCCTCTAACATCATGAGGACACGTTCACACAGACCTTCGTTCCCACGTGTGTTAGGTCCTAAGAATACAAACATTAGGCTGCTGTGTCCTCCGACCTCTTGGTGCAGCTTTCCAACCCCATCTCCAGGCTTTTTGCCTTTGCAGGTGGCTGAGTCCCAGGAGAAGTCCTTCACCTTCCAAGGGGCGTATTCCTTAGCAGGCGAAGGCATCCTCCAGCGCCAAGATCAAAAATGACTTTTGTCTTTGGTGGTCACTGGCAGTTCAGGTTAGACCAGGGAAACTTGAGGGGAGAGGGAGATGAGCTAGGGTTCCCTGCAGTCAGAATGCACAGGAGCTGCGGCCACGGTGGTAAGCCTGGTGAGAGAGCAGCTCCAGTCCCCAGCCAGGTACTGATGTAGCCGTGGGCTCTTAATAACAAGCCCCATCCCTGTTTTTCTCCCTCCTTCAGCTCTGACCCGGCCCAGACCTCACAGCGATGACTACAGCACCATGAAGAAGATTCCTCCTCGAAAGCCCAAGCGAAGCCCCCACACGAAGCTCAGTGGCTCCTATGAGGAGATATCAGGCCCCAGGCCTGGGGAAGGGAGACCCCTGGGGAAAGCAGGGCCCCCCCAGGACTCGGGGGCCGTGCACAGGGCCTGCTCGGCCGAGGGGCCTCCCCACTGTGCCCTGCACCTGACTGTGCCACAGGGAGGTGACGACGATGCCGAACCCGTGTACATCGAGATGGTGGGGAACGCTGGGAGGGCTGGCTGCCCCCAGCCCGACAGCCCAGACCCCGGGGAGTCCGTGTATGAGGAGATGAAATACTTCTTGCCCGAGGAGAGCAGCCGCAGCCTGGGCATGGTCTCCTTCATGTCTGCATCGCCCCCTCTGTTTTATGAGAGCCGAAAACCCATCACCTTTGAGGACGGTGACACGAGCGGCCAAGCGGCGGGGCCCTTGAGGGACACCTGTGACATCCCGCCCCCTTTCCCCAATCTGCTTCCCCACCGGCCACCCCTGCTGGTCTTCCCTCCAACCCCCGTGACCTGCTCCCCGGCCTCCGACGAGTCGCCTTTGACACCCCTGGAAGTGAAAAAGCTGCCCGTCCTGGAGACCAACCTCAAGTACCCCGTGTCATCAGAAGGTTCAAGTCCACTGTCTCCACAGTATTCCAAAAACCAAAAGGGGGACAGTGACAGGCCCGCGTCCCCCGGCTTGACTGTATTCAATGGGCCCAACAAAATCTCCCCACCTTCCACACCCCCTGCTCCTCCCCTGCCCCCTCCGGTGCCTCCTGCCTCCTACTGGCCACCTGCACACTTTACATTCCCCCCCGAGACAGTTGTGGTGCCCACAGGAAAGGCGATGGCAAATTCAGACGTGGCCAAATCACAGCAAAAGCCAAACTCCGCCCCCGCAGGGGGTCCATGCAGCTCCTTCTCCAAGATTCCTTACTCCCCGGGGAAGGCGGCTCGAGGGGAACACAGGAAGGCCAACTCCAGCTCCTCCTCCCCGGCACCCTACAGCCCTCCCAACTCCAGACCGCTCAACAGCCCCCTGGACGAGCTGGCCAGCCTCTTCAATTCCGGACGGAGTGTGCTTCGGAAGTCTGCAGCAGGAAGAAAAATTAGGGAAGTGGAAGGTACGTGGAAAAGAAATGCATCTTCCTTTTGCATGCATGTGCGTGCTTGTGTGCACATAGATACATACACACACACACACGTACACACACACACACACACACACACACACACACACACACACACACACAATGCTAAAAATAAACCCTGAAGTGATTGCAGTAGTTATTCAGAGCAGATATCAACTAGGAAAAAAACCCGTAAACCTGGCCGGGGCAGTGACTCACACCTATAATCCCAGCACTTTGGGAGGTTGAGGTGAGAGGATTGCCTGAGCCCACAGGTTCAAGACCAGCCTGGACAACTTGGCAAGACCTTATCTCTGCAATAATTTTTTTAAAAAATTAGCTGGGTGTGGTGGCACATGCCTATAATTTCAACTACTTGGAAGGCTGAGACCGAAGGATCGCCTGAGCACAGCAGATCAAGGCTGTGGTGGCTGTAAGTATGCCACTGCACTCTAGCCTGGGTGACAGAGTGAGACACCAACTCAAAAAACAAACAAACAAAAACCCTTGTGCAATCAATGTGGCCAATTAAGTAAGAGTGAATATTTTCTTTTATTTTTTTCCTTTTTTTTGAGTCAGGGTCTTACTCTGTCACTCAGTCTGTGGTGCAGTGGCATGATCATGGCACACTGCAGCCTTGACCTCTTGGGTTCAGACAATCTTCCCACCTCAGCCTCCTGAATAGCTGGAACTACAGGTGCATATCACCATACCCAGCTTATTTTTTGATTTTTTTTTTGTAGGAGCAAGGTCTTACTATGCTGCCTAGGCTGGTCTCAAACTCCTAGGCTCAAGCAAACCTCTGGTCTTGGCCTCCCAATGTGCTGGGATTATAGGCAGGAGGCATCATGCACAGCCTTCATAGTTTCATTTTTGCAGAACAAGACATTAAAATCTCATGGTACTGAAATACACGGACTGAAACAAGACTTAATAAATGATAACTTAATAAATATTAGACAGAGCAAGGTTAAATTTTAGCTACTATCTCATTTTCCTAGTAATAGATCCTCATGACATAACAATGGTATTATTGCAACATTAGATTGCCTATTTTCATTTGATTTACATTTAACCATTAATCCTCGAGCGTGTGCTTTGCCAAATATTGTCTGGGATGCTTACCTCTTCAGTTACTACCTTGCACTTAATGCCATTCACCTCTGTGTTATGTTGAACAAATTGCTTATCTTCTGTTCATATACCACCCAAGGAACATTTTAACTCAGTTCTGTTTTATCTGTGTCTTCTCACCCAGCGACTCAGCCCACGCGTGGTTTGCAGGTGGAAATTCACTCAATTGAGCTCAGCTGCAGGCTATTGCATTCAGTGGCTGTTGCCCGCATACAAATGTATTCATTTTGTGTCTCTATAAAAGCAGAATGTAGCTCACAAAAAAAAAGGAAAAAAAATTCTCATTAAGACTCCTTTGCTAACCTTTGGTAATTAGCTAACCACATGCCACTTCATCCAGATGTAGCTGCCCTTGTGCCAAAAGTATTGCTTTGATACAGATTCCCTTAATAATCATCAAGAATATAGTCATTTTTAAAAACACATATGTGGGGTTTTTGTACAAAAACAAAGTATCTTCCCAGTGGTTGTACATTAGTATAAAATGTCTTCCATAAGGAAAATTATAACCAACCCCTTCCGTCATGGTGCCAGTGGATTTCCTTCTTTTTAATATGGACAGCAACCACTGATATTTCACTTTATAGATGGAAAATTTCAAGGCGGAGAGGTAACATATCTCCCTTAGGGTCAAGTGGTAGGAATGGAAATAAGATTTTGATCTACAGTGCAATACCATTTTATGCATGCATTAGCTTGCTCTTTCTCCAAATGAAAATACATAAATATGCTAGCTTTCATTGTTTGATTAGCAAAATTACTTTAGGTACAAAAACCAGAGAATCTAGAAAGAAATCTGAACAAGTGAAAAGTAGGTCAGGGGTGAGAACCATTAGCAAGTGAATGAATAACCTACTCACTGTTTACTCTTCAGAAAAAAATAAGCTAATTATTTCTTTAGTTAACATTTTCTTCTTAATTATAGGCCATTAATAAACAAAATTGTACTTGTAAATTGCAGAAGGTTTGAATTTCACAAGTCGTGTTTCCTTCAAAGGAACAAAAGGAGTAAGAGGAAATCATTAAATGAACAAATTAATATTTGCTTTTAGAAAGAAAAGTTTATTATAGCCTCATTTTACTATAGATTGGAATTGGGTGAATCCTTCCTGACTCTGTTCAAGGAAGTGAAATTAATGAATTTCTAGACAGATCTCATCATTTGGAAATCCTGAAGTCTAGGACTCAGAGGATGGTAAGAATTATAGTGAGGCCTCCAGGCATGGTGTGTAAATTTGCTAATTATATTTCCCTACGGTGGCATTAACCAGTGTTTGGGAACACATATCAAAAACTCAAGTACAGCACTGTTATCTTAACTCTAATATTAGAAGACATCTATTTTCTTATTGTGGGCTTTTCCAACTTGCTTTTTACTTGGAAAGATTGGATTCAGTCACTTGCAACTTTCTCATAAATACATGAATTGGCAGCTTCTGCCACTGACGCAGTAGTTTACAAGTTTGCACGGAGTGTTCCAGGTCATTCTTTCCAAATGTAAAAGGGGTGAAAGATAAGATATGGAAGGAAAAACACTCAGGGCTTGTGCTAAGCACCAGAGTTGCTTATATGCTTATTAAGGTTTACACAATTTGATCTTGAGGTCAGTAATTCCTTTTCTTCTGGATGAATTGATATCATGATTTACTGTAATCTTGGAGTTTCTTTCCTTTAAAGTTTTAAATCGTCTATTTTTCCCTCTTTATATGTAACAACATTTTTATTTTTACCTGAAATAGCTTTCTTACCAAATAATCCAGGGTATGGCTAATCCACCCTTCAATGCACCTAAATTAATTGCAGTTCATTTTTGTCCAATTTTGATAAAGGGAAACTGTTCTTCAAATTTTCAGAAGTGTTCAAAATATTCCCCTTGCCTCTTTGGAACCATGACCTTGAGGAGATTAAATTTCCTATTAATTCACTGCTATAGGCATTTCCAACTGAAACATAAGTGTTATTATGTATGGCAAGTTGTGTATAGGAAGCGAGGTTTTATTCATGGGTATTTCTATACCATTGCTATTCCATAGTCTTAGACCAGGGAGGACTCCCCCAAAAAACAGAATTATCTTTTGAAGGGCAGCCCCTTGTCGTATGGGCTTTCCTCGCTAGGTGAGTGTTCTGGGAACCCACTGGCTTCCGTGGACCAGCTTGTGTTGTTGTGAGAGGCTGCATTCAGTTTCAGTGATTTTTTTTTTGAGAGTCATTGCATTTGCCCAATTCATGATGGGTGGCTCACAAGCTCACCTGCCAACAACGGGCTAAGTGTTCAGCAGTTTTGGCCCAAAAGTGGCATGTCTTTCTGCCCTGTCTCGCCCCAGCAACTTTTTTTGTTGTTTCCCTGGATGAAAAAAGTCCTCAAAAGGAAATGTGTAGCTGATGTGGAAGAGGTGAAACCAAAAAATGACTGAAGCACTAAAAGGCGTCAAAATGCATGAGTTCAAAAACTGTTTTGAGCAGTGGAAAAAAAAATCTCAACAGGTGTATTGCATCAGACAGAGAGTACTTTGAAGATGACTGAAGTTTAAACATATAGGAATAACTACACAATTTTAATAAATAAATTCAAGATTTTTGGGGTCCCCTTGTATGTAGGATATTACAAATACAATGTGACTAAAAAAATCATCATATATAGATTCTTGGATATGCAATTTGAGGAATTCAAAGCTATGCAAATCCTAAGAACTGAGGATATACATATAAAAAAAAGATTGTGCAGATGATAGATGTGACTACAGACTGGGAAGGATAATACTGACAACGAGTAATTGTTGTGTTTCCCAGGTCCCAGGTATTGTCTGAATAACCAATTTAAGGTATCTGCTACTCATCCCCATCTTACAGGAGGGCAAACGGAGGTACAGAGAGATTAATCAATTTGTTCAAAGTGATTCTGCTCATGAAGGCGGCACACAACCTGAATGCTAATTCTATCCCGAGAGGCTCTTCTCTTAAGCATCTGTGCAATGCTGCCTTGGAGAGCAGGAGAAAAGAGACAGAGGAAAAGGTTTTAACAAATTCCTATTCGCTCTCTGAGATGCCACAAGTAAGAGTCTCAGAGTTTGGATGGAGAGAACTGTCCCATCAACTCAAGAATATCAAACTTGCACTCTGTAAATTATGGGTATATATACAACTCTGGCCTGCAGCGCCCAGGCTAGTTGACCCTTCCGATTAAGATTGACTAAACGTTTAATTGTCTGTGCCTTGGTAGATGTAGAGATCTCATCAATTCACAGGATTTTTTTCATCTGAGGCTATAATATGACTAATATTATTATGGTGATTATTTCCAGTTGCTTGGTTTCAAAACATATGGGCCCTCATCCAAACGGTGAAGGAAGAGAGTCATTGGCTAGCTTTGGCCACTAGGGTGCTCCATTGCGCCGATCGGCATCTCAGGGTCTGGTCCAGTTTATCCAGAATAACGTGAAATCACCTGAACCCATTATCGCCACTCACTGAAAAAGATCACGACGGTTAGGATGTTGACAGAAATGCTGTCCATTTCAGAAATCTGGAGAGAAAGCGGAGAGAGCCAGGCTGAATCAAGGAAAAATCTGATTCACAGAATATTTTGAAAGAATTCAGTGCTATTTATCTCTGAGATCATGCATCCTTAGTTTCTGAATTATAGAGACTTTAAAATGATGTCAGCAAAAAAACCATAGTGTGAAAATGTTTCTTTGCGTCTAGTAGGTGGTTATTAAATGGTTGTTTGATGTAAGATTTACACAACAAAGAGCAGTTTGGCATGTTCGTCGGTTTGATGGTTCTAGGCCTTGTGGCGTTTTTATATAATAAGAATCACTTAAGCCACATGGAAGTCACTGTTAATTTCAAATATTTTATTT